AAAAAATCAGGGGGAAGCATTAAGACACAAACGAAGGCTCTGAGGGAGCCAGGCCGGAGCCAGGCTCTGCCCCTCCCCGGCTGCGAGGGCTCGGGTAAGACACTGAACCTCAGGGACAGAAGTCCCCTTCCTGTAAAACAGGAGCAGCAATGCTGACTTTAGGGCGAGGCCGAGGTGATGAGAGGTGGACAGAAAAGCATAAATGCTGGGCGCCTATTACCTCCGCCTTAGAAATCTCTGTTAAATGAGATCCTCATCCATAATCTCTGCCAATTGTGAAGGTCGGAGAGACAAACGCAGGGAAGCGCCCTGTGCACTGCTGAGCATTGGACCCGCCGAAGGGACTGTCACTGACATGCTGGGTGGTGGGTCCGTCCAGCGGCCCAAAGGGCGCTGGGCTGCAGGGGAGGGAAGGACGCTTTCCGAGATGCCATCTTCGTGACTCTATGGCTTCGGGTTTCTGCCAAAGCGTCCCGCGTGGACCCTCCGACCCTCCCACAGCCGCCAGCTGGAGACAAAACCCACTGCGTTGCAGGAGTGAGGTGCCTCGGACACACCCAGGAGACGAGGAACAGAACTAAGGAGGGAACCCCAGTGTCTCGGCGCCGTCGGGGCCGAGTCCTCCCAGGGGTCACACACCCCACCGGCAACGGTCTGTACATCCAGACCGGCTGCACCGCCGCCCCACCCCGTGGCCCAGCGGCCTCTGGCCCCGCCGTCTCTTTCTACCCCTTATTAGACAGCCGGCGAAACGGGCGTCCTGGGAGGGATCACACGGTGGGCCGGCAGCAAAGCCAGGCCTTTCGGTGTGACAGCCTCTCCGCGCACAGGCTGACCTTGGCTCCAAGGTCTCCCGGCGGCGAACTGTCCTCTGCGCGGCCCCTGTGTCTGGCCATCTCTGGGGCGGGGTCGGGGTGAAATACGATAGCGACTCCTGTGTCACGGGCACTGCCTCGCGCCCGGCTCCGAAGTGAGCATTCTACTGAATCCTGGCACCCACCCTGCGGGTGCGTGCGGTCCTTACCCCCGCGTCTCAGAGGGGACACCAAGGCTGAGAGAAGGGAAGGGGCTTGCTGCGGCCCGGGGACCTGCGTCGGGGCCCGGGGGTGCCTGCGCCAGGCTTCGGGTGCCCCGACCTGCCTCCGCGACCCCCACCCGCGGCCCGAAACCTTCCCCGAGCGCGCACGTGCGGCACGCCGGGCCGTCCAGCGCCGGGTCGCGTAACGAACCGCGGCCGCAGGGCGCCGAGACAGTTGGGGGTCAGGGCCCCCCTGGCCGCCGCCCCCACTCCGCCTCGCGCTACTCACCCCGGGCGGGGGCTCCCGGGACCCGGAAGAAGAGGACGGGGTGAGAGAAAGAGAGGGCGGCGGCAGCGAAGAGCCCAGAAGCCCACAGCCACCTCGGTCACACCACGACCAGACACGACACCTCGCGGCGCGCGCTGCCTTTGTCCGCTCACGTCAGTTCCGGGTGCTCGGAGGGGGCGGGGCCTTGTTGGCTCCGCCCCGCGTCGGCTTGCCCCGCCCCTTGGTCTCCTGACCTAACTTGACTTCTGTGTCCTATGCGAGTGAGAACGGGCGCAGCGTCCACTCTCTCCCGTCTCCAGCCCGGGCACCGGTTCGTTTGGAGGCTCAAGGCTGGACTTTTAAAAACGAGTGTTCTGTAAGCTTCCCACTGGGTAGAGTGAGTGGGGAGACTTTTCCCCTCAAATCCCATGCATAACAATTAGCATCTTAATACAGATCCAAAAAGGAAAGAAGAAAAAAAGAAATACCTTAGCAGTGCCAAGGGGTTGCCACCCTCAAATAAGCAGAACAAGTCCACGAAGTTTACATTTCAAAAAGTCTTCCCTTCCTTGGGGTCCTCCCATATAACAGAAATTCGGGAATTTCAGGCAGCCTTGATGGCAATAGGAGATCGCCCGCAGCTGGACCTGGTGCAGGTCCGGGAGCCTCAGTCTCCTCGCCCGCCAGGCAGATGGAATTAACTGCTCACCTGCCAACTCCGCGAGGAGTTGGGACGTGTGGGACGTTGCAATTCAAGGCTTCAGGCCTGCCCTTGCCATTATAGCGACGACATCCGTCCTAAGTCCATTTGTCTTACACTGACATTCTCGTCTTAGATTGTCAGCACAGCACCTTCCTCTGAGTGGTGCACACGGGAGGTGCTTGAACTGTGTTTGCTTTAATGAGGTGACGGCTATGTGGCGGGGTGCAGAAAAGGCCCACCTGTGGAGTCCCCCAAATCTGTCCATGTCCATATTACTTGGCATCCTCTCTAGGGTACTCCAGGTCCAACTTGGGTCCCCTTTCAAGCTTCGTTTTCCATGTCTCTAGGGGAAGGGAATGGTGGGTAATGTCAGTTGCCTGGGGTGTCTATAATCTTATATTGGGGGCCGCTCTGAGTTTAGCCATTTTGGAGGTTCCTAAAAATCCACTCCTGCTTTTATTTCCTGTCCACAGAAAAGGAAGTCCCCTCCCTGTACCCTGACCCCAAGGCCTTTCCAGGTCTGGCCAGCCCACCCCCAACCTCAAAGCTTCTTGCATTTCTGAATTCCCAAATCTTGAACATAGTAGTTGCTCAATCAACATTTATAGCAAGCAAGGGGCTGGAGGGCTCCTTAGAAGTCACCTAGTTAGCCTGGTGTTCCTCATCCATTTTTTTAAAAACTCACATATCCTCAAAATAAATATCAGCTCTAGCTGGTGTGGCTCAGTGGATTGAGCACCAGTCTGTGAACCAAAAGGTTGCCTGGTTCAACTCCCAGTCAGGGCACGTGCTTGGGTTGTGGGTCAGGTCCCCAGTTGGCGGCGCGTGAGAAGCAACCACACATCGATGTTTCTCTCCCTCTCTTTCTCTCTCTTTCTCTAAAAATAAATACAATATTTAAAAAATAAATATCAAACTTTCTCACTTTCCCCACTCACTATTCTAACTTCCCAAAGAGGTATTTCTTCCCATCCCTGGCTGAGGAGTATTTGCAAGAAATGGAACACATACTCTGTGACGCCTCCTCCAGGCAGATGCCTTGTAATTTGATTCACAAAGTTTGGGTTTTGTTTTTGTTTTTTTTAATTTTCAGATCATGAAATTATACCATGCCAATGAAATTACTTGTCCAAATTACCCTTGTCCCTCACTCAAACTTCACAGTTCAAGCCCTTTCCCAACAGTCCATTTTCCCACGGAGCCCCAGCAAAGGGGAGACTGGTCCGGGGTTGCATAGCACACAGAGGCGGAACGTGGTCCCCAGGTGGATTCTCTGGGATTCCAAGCCCACTGCCTTGGTGCTGCCCAGCCTTCCGCTGGAAGTTCTCCTTCTAGAACCACCAGCCCTAGCATGCCCTACCTGGGCCTCCCTGGTCTGGAGTGGGTAGCTGAACCCTGGCCCCTCCATCCCCGGCACGGGCATGGCTGCTCTGATCAGCAGTTCCCCCACCACCGGGTGACTGCAGCCTTGGCATCCTGAGCACAACTGCCCCGCCCTCTGTCCCCAGGCCTCAGTGCCCGCTGCTCCTCACGTAGCCTTGGGTGCGGGGCGGATCACAATGACCCTGAAGAGGCCCTGAAGGCGGCAGGGAGGGGCCAGCAGAGACCAGGCCGGGAAGATGGGCTCTCGCATCCTGCCACCTGTTGGCAGGATGCCGCCTGTTGGCATCTCACCAGCCACCTGCTGAGGGCTCTACACTCCCCGGGACCTTCTCCGCCCCCACCCCCAAGGCACACTAGGGTGAGTGGCACTATCAGGAGCCAGCTCGGAGCCAACAGCCTGTGGGAGCAGGGTGTGGTGAGGAGGAAGCAGGCTCTGAGACCCCCAGGGTCAGGATCTGGGGGCAGGGCTGGGGTTCTGTCTCCCAAAGGGAAAGTTTGTTAAAAGTATGAGTCTTAGCCCCACCCAGACCTAGCACCGTATTTTGCCGTGTATAATGCGCACCCACGTTTTTGGCCCAAACTCTCAGGAAAATTCTTTTGTTTTCATTTTCAATTCAGTTTCCTTTCTTTCTTTCTTTCTTTCTTTCTTTCTTTCTTTCTTTCTTTCTTTCTTTCTTTCTTTCTTTCTATTTAGAAACAGAACCAATGATCCTATTCCGGGGTATTATTTTGCCTATGGATATCGTTATTGCTTTCTAGAGTTACACTTTTAAGGCATACGCATACAATAAAAGAATTACAAACGTTTGGATAGACACGGAATTAGTACCACCCATGTATAATGCGCATCCTTGTTTTCCCCTCAGCAATTTGGGCCAACATGTGCACTATACATGGCAAAGCACGGTAAATCAGGAGCTGGGGCATCTGTGTTTTCGACAAGCTCCCCACCCGCGGGTGGGGGTGGGGAGGCCCCAGCAGGAGGCAGGCGCTGAGCAGCTGTCTCCTTTCCTGCGGGTCCCGGGTTCTAGGAACGGTTCTCTCCCTCGTTCCTAGGAGGGCGAGGGTTAGTAACAGTAACAGCCTCCACGACTTTACACTGCAGTGAGGGAGATGCTTCCTGCCACGTGACTGACGTGAGGCTGTTGCACTCTCCGAGGGGCGGGGCTCTGTTATCCCCGTTCCACGGATGAGGCCGCCCAGCGGAGCCCGTCAGTGGGCTTCCTCCAGGTCACAAAGCTAATGAGTAGTGGAGCTGCGGCTAAATTCTAAATGAATCTTTTAAAATCCTCATCATAATAGCAGCTAGTGTTTGCTGAGCACTGGCGATGTGCCCCACATTACTCTAACCCACTTACGTGTGCCGGCTCATTGGAACGTCACAGCAACTCAAAAAAAAAGGTGGGTGCTCTTACCGTCACCACCCTCCAAGTGAGGACACAGAGGCTGGGCGAGCTCTAGTCTGAAGCCGCTCCGTGTCTGGCGAGCCCGGGATGTTACCCCCAAACCACGCTGCCTCGCCCTCGGCACGATGGCCTGGGGGCTGGTCTGCGCCCTGCTCTCCACTGCACACGGCAACCCCCGCCCCCACTGGCTTGAGGATGCCCTGAGCTGAGTACGGGCCAGACATGCCCTGGCGTCACCCCACCCTCCGCGCCCAGCAGGTGGCGCCCAAGGGGTTCCCTGGCGAGGGGGCGCGCCGAAGGAGAGACCTGGGGCTGCCGGGGCCGCCGCCTCCGCGTGACCTCCGATCCGTGCCTGGCGCGTGGAGATCTCGGGGCTCGAGGGCCTCGAGGGGCAGCCCCGAGTGGTGGCCGGCCTCCAGTGGCGAGTCCTCGCACACAGAGCCAGGGGTGGATGTCTGGCGTCCCGGGCTGCGCCTGCCCCCTCTGCCCGCCATGAGCCCGCGGGCGGCGCGGAGCAGGACGGGGCTGAGGTCGCTGCTGCTGTCGCCCCCGCACCCCAGGCCTGAAGAGTGCGAGGACTCCTGGAGGGGCTCGGCCAGGAAGACCTCGGGCTCCTTGGGCTCCCTCATAGGAGAGTTCCTCCCTCGAAAGTTCCGGGAGTTCCTGAGCCAGCTCGGTGCGGAGTGGGTTGAGCAGCCGCCGCCGCCGAGTGAGGCCCTTGCTGGGTCCCCAGGGGGCTGGGCAACGGGGCTGAGTTGTTTCCAGTGGGGAGGCCCCCGCCACCGTCCTAAGAATGATGCTAACATTAGTTGAGTTCCTGGCGGAGTTCGGACAGCCATGTCTGGGGGCGGGTCTGCCACTGCCCATCTTGAAGGAATGAAGAAACTGAGGCCAAAGGCTATAGAACTAGGAAGACCCTGGTAAGGACTGCCCCCAAACAAAGGCTGCTAACTGTTTCCATCTCCTCCTGGCTCCCAGCATCCTCAGAAGCGCCATATCCTCGGTGCGTGTCCGAGTGCTGGGGAGGGTACTCTCCTCCGAGCCCAGACTGCTCCTTCCTCCCAGACCTGCGGTGAGTGTCAGGGGCCTGCTGGGGGGTGGGGGGAGACAGGGTTGTCATCGGTGCTCCAAGGGTGGGGACCCTGGCCACTCATGCCGGATGTGGCCTCTTTGTCTTCAAGGGGCCGGTCATTGAACTTCCAGAATAGTCTTAAGAAGAGTTCGCTTGATCAGATACCTACCCTGGGGCTGCTGAGGAGGGATCGAGAAGCCACCAAGGTCAAAAAGGCCGACAGGTGAGTTCCGGGGGGATGGGGTGGGGAGGGAGGAGATAGAGCATTTCTCTGCTCCCTTTCTTCCTTCTGTCTTTCGCCCACAAGTTTACCTATGTATCCACCTAGTCGTCCATCTGCGTGGGCTCCCATGAATCGGGTCTTCTGCCAGAACATTCACAGTCCGCCTGTGGATCCACCCATCCTCCCACCCATCCATCCCACCCTCCACTCGTTCATCGCTGCATCCATCCATCCTTCCGTGAAGCAGGTTTTCTCCCAACACATTTGGGAATCATCCATCCACACCTGTGAACCCATCCACCCATCAGTTAGGTCTCCTACCAACACATTTATAATTCATGCACGAATCCATTTGTATTTTCATTTTCCCCTTTACCCATCCACCTTGCATGCATCTTATCTGCAAACAAGGTCTTACACCCTGTTCAGGAACCCCCATCCATCCGTCCACCCATCTGGTGGGTCAGCCACTCACCTATTCGCAGACGCCCACAATGTTATCCACGGACCCGCCCACAATGTTATCCATGGACCCAATGTGTAGATCAATCACCTGCAAGTTCTTCTAGCCACTTACAGACCCGGGACACTGGCTGTCTCATCCAGTCACGAAGCCATCTGCCAGCCTACATGCCCATGTACATACTCATTCACCCACCCATCCATGTAATCATTCATCCATCCATCCACACATCTCCCCATCCTCCTAGACCTAGTTCTTCCGTTCAGACCTTTTTTTTTTTAAAGGTTTTGTTTTTTGTTTGTATTTTGTTGTTGATGGTTGTGGGGATATTGTTGGGTTTTTTTTAAGATTTTACTTACTTATTGTTAGAGAGGGAAAGGAGGGAGAAAGAGAGAGAGAAACATCAATGTGCAGTTGCTGGGGGTCATGGCCTGCAACCCAGGCATGTGCCCTGACTGGAAATCGAACCTGCGACACTTTGGTTCGCAGCCCGCGCTCAATCCACTGAGCTACACCAGCCAGGGGCCATTCAGACCTTTTCACTAGTCCAGCCATCCACCTACCCACCCACCAGTCTTCCATCCTTTTACCCATTCCACCATCCATTCATCCATTTCTTCCTCTACCATTGATTACGTCTTATTTTATTATGTCGAATATTGGGGGAAATAAAATAAGGGATGGAGACAGGAGAAGAAACCATAACTCTGATGGAGGAGGGAAAGAAGGCAGAAAAACAGCTTCCGGCTTAAACGGGCTTAAACAGGGGTGAAGGGTGAAGAGCGCTGAGCAGGAGTTTAGAGACCAACAGAGTAAATACACGACACACGCACTGTTCCTTCTAATCCTGCACCCGTGGCAGACAGTACTAATGGATCACAGCGCTTCTCCCCACTGACACCGTGCTCCAGGCAGACACTGACGATGCATCGGAGTAGGAGCCGGAAACGAAACACACTTGCCAGCCCGGGAAATTACTCCGGCCAGATAAACACACTGCTCCTCGCAAGACATAATAAAGAAACGTATGGCTCTCAAGGGCTCAACCGTGAGAAAAGCAGGGAAGGCTACATTCTCTGTGCTCCATAGTCGAGAGCTAGTGCTCAAGCACTTTCCGGTGCGGAAGATTCCCTGGTGGGCCTCGGGGTGGGGGCAATGTGGGGTGCACTAGAACAGGCTCCAGCAGCCTTTGAGAGGAGACACTGAGGTGCCAGGGCGTGGGCAGAGCTGGGGTGCCTTGGCCTGGCCCTGAGGCCAGCACAGAGCGGGTGTTGCTATGCCAACGGCTGTCAGATGAGCAGGTCCCAGGGCTGCAGCCAGGCGCTGTCTCGGACACCTCCTGCCAGCCAGGCTCTTTCGTGGGCTGATGCAAAGCATCCCCTCTGGGTCCGCGCAGGCGGGAAGATGTGGTCAGATGAACAGGCGCAGATGTAGTGATGTGCATGTACCTACGGTCAAACATGGCCTTTCTGAATCAGAGAACCGTGGGTGGATCAGGCAGGCCCTCCTGCGGCCTTGGCCTTGAGGACAAAATTAGTAACAACGCATGTAACAATAACAGATCCCCTTTACTGAGAGCACAGAGCCTGGGCTAGATGCTTCCCACAAGCTATGTGATGCTCACCAAACTCTTCTAAGGATGTTATTATCATGCCCATCCATGGTTTATATAATCATTTAAAGGGGACACTACAGGGGGAGACTCAAGGGCTGGCCCCCACAGAGCACACTGCTGAGAGGGGGTATCATGGAGGCTGCAAATTATAGTGAGCACAGCTCCCAGTTGGAGATGTTCACCCCGGCCCCACAGACCCTCGGCGGGGTGCTCTGCTGTTCCTCTCACCTCCGCACAGCCCTGGCTGGTGGGCAGGCCTGGGGTCCACCGTGCGGATCAGAGAACCAGAGCTCAGGAGAGCTGGGATCGGAACCCAGGGCTGCCTGGCTCCTGAGACCCTGCCTTTGCTCCCTCTGCGGAAATGCCCGTACAGAAGAGCGCCGGCTCTGGAACCGGGATTCAAAGCTTGGCTCCATCCCTCGCTGGCTTTGTGACCTTGGGCACGTTGAAAAAAAAAACAAACCTCTCTGTGCCTCAGTTTCCCCGTCTGTAAAATGGGAATGGTGACCGTACGTCAAGGAGGTGTGCGGGCTGGGTGGGGCTGTGTGCCTGGCACGCGGGAAGTGCTCGGGAAAGGCCAGTAGCTGTGACCGTGAGGTCTGCACGGTGAGCTGCAGTCTGGTGGACGTGCGTTGTTGGGGTGGAGGGGGGGCCCAGGGGGTTCGGGCCCCGGCCCTCCCCTCTCACTCTCGCCTATTTCTGCAGGCCCCACGGTCTCCAGGTGCCCAAGCTCAAGGCTGAGCTCACCCACAGCTCCTCGGAGGAAGGCTCCGGGCACCACAGGCGGTGCAGTCCCTTCCGAGTGCGGTTCGCTGACGAGACCGTATGGGACACGGCGTTCCGCTACTGGGAGCGCAGCCGTGCACGTGAGCAGTTGGGGCGGGGAGCCCCACACTCCACAGAGTTCCAGCCTGCAGCTGGGGGAACGGACCCTGCGGCCCTGGGTGCTGGGAGGCAGGCACCGGCCCGCAAAGGCCGAAAGGCTGCTCTGCTGAGCCCGCAGAGGAGGCACCTGACCTGGCCTCTCCGGAGGATGTCAGGGTGGCCTTCGAGGACGAAGTCGAGGGTCCGAGGTCCGGTAGAAGTGTCCCAAAAACAGGTGGCACCAGGCAGCAGCCACAGCATGGGACCAGGACACCATGGCTGCCCAGACCTTGCCGGACGCGGAGGCACTCTTGCCCCCAGGGTTCTCACAGGCCGCAGCCTGCCGACCCGGATCCGGCTCCCCGTGTGGCTTGCAGGGGGGCTGGTGGCGGTGGGAGGGCACCAGAAGCATCTTCCTCCCGTATTCGTGAAAGCAGAGTTGGGTGAGGGGGTGTCCAGAAAGTTCCAGAAGATTAGGGGAGACCAGCCCCACCGGGTCTGGCAAAGAAGCCAGGAGCCCGCAGGCCTGGGTCCGCAGCAGACCTCTGCCGTCCGCGAGCTCTCTCGACGAAGGAACGGGACAGCCTGTGTGCTGGGGCGCGGCTTCCCGTGGAGGTCGCCAAAGCGCCCTCTCTCCGCCTGCCCTGCTTCTTCTCTCCTCAAGCTCCAGCAGCGACCCTGGGGGCCGCGACCTCCGACGGTCAACAGTCTGCGTCTCTTTTTTTTGAGCACCTACTAGGTGCAGTTTCAGGAAACGGCCGCCCAGAGCCTAGCTGTAGCCCTAAAAACCAGGACTGTCACCGGCTCGGGGGGGATCCCTGAGGGTCCCAGGAAGCTGCAGAGAGAAACTGTGACTTTACCCAACTTCCGGTTGTGTGATGAGGACACCAAGGGCCTGAACAGATGGCACAGCCACCAAGAAGAGACGCCAGAGGGAGCCCGGCCACTCTGGGGGTCCAGGGCAACCTCGGGTGGTGCCCTGAGGCGCCTGGAGAAACAGCTTCGTGTAAATGGCGGTTGCCGGGCACAGGAGAGCTGCCTGGCCAGCCACCGGCCAGGGGAACTGTGCCTGCACCCCAGGGCGCCAGACTGGGGCTCTGTGGGTGTTTCCCAGCCACTCCCATCCTCAGGATCCCTGCTGGGTCAGAAGGGTCACTGTTGGTTGGGCAGGGAATTCTCCCAGCCCCCAGAACCCCCTCCATCCCCACGGGAGAATCAGTACCCTCCCCCGGACCTCCATTGTGGGGTGACTGGTCTTCCCATGGTAGAAAAGGGGGGCCATTTGGGGCTGGAGCAGGAGTGGTGTGGGGGTGCAGGGGCAGACTGGGTAATAAAGGCAAAAACAGTCACACAAGAGAGTTTTAAAAACTGAGCCTTCTCTGGAGGTACCCAGAAGGCGCTGGGGAGCCTTGGGTTTCCATGGAGACTGGCTCTGCCAGCCTTGCCTGCCAGAGGGAGGAGGGGAGAGCTGGGGGGGGTACCCCCTCCCTCAGGAGAGCTCTCACAGTGCCCTCTCCCCTCCAGTCCAGCAGGGCATCACCGGGACCAGGCCAGCCACCCCGTCGGAGGCGGCATTGGAGCGTGCATTTGGGAGCGTCGGGAGATGGGTGGAGAGTTTGCCCAGTGGAGCCCTGGACTTCCAGGCCAAGGAGGAGGCCGCGGCCAGCTCCCTGTTCAGCTGGGACAGCCCCAGCCTGTGAGGCTTCGGGGAAGGGCTGGGGTTCCCACGCATCCCCCCTCCTCACTTTGTAGAGCTCCCGGCCCGCGGTCCGGCCGGCTGCGGGCAGGCCACGGGCCTGGGCCCTTGAGGGCCTCGCCAGCCACGGACGGACCTGGGACCTGGGCTCCACGCAGCTCACAGGCTGCTGTCCCCCCCAGGCCCATCCCGGAGCTGGAAGACTACCTCTTTGAGGACACCTCTATGAACAGCAGCCTGCCCTACATCCCCAGGGCCAGCACCCAGCGGCAGCAGAGAGACCACAAAAGCTTTCTGGGTGCCCACAGCATTCTCAACCCGGTGGGCAAACCGCCCTGCTCCTGGAGCCAGAAACTGGTGAGTACCTGTGGGCAGCCAGCCGCCTGGAGCACCCCGGTCCGGTGGGCGGGGCGGGGAGCAAGTGCCAGGTGGAGCCTCCCCACATGCTTGGCTGAGGGGCGGGTCTGGAGCTGGGCTGCCTGCTTCAGATCCCAGCTCCGTAGGAGCAAGCTGTCTTTGCATTTTGGTTTCTTTATCTCTAAAATGGGGTTGGGTTCCTGCCCCCTAGTGCTGAGGCCCCAGGAGCCCTGTCTCCTGCCCAGGAACCGCCCCCTCCCCCGCCCCCGCCCAGGCCCCAGCTGGTCTTTTCTCCCTCTAGGAGTCCTTCCTGCCCAGCCTGGAGCTGCACAGGTTCCTGAACCGAGGCCGCCCAAAGGGGTACCAGCTCCTGCTGCCCTCAGTGACACGGCAGCAGGCTCAGCGATGAAAGGCTTCCGGAGCTGAGCCCGGGTGTGTACGCGTGCCGGGGGTGAGGACAGGCCGGCCTTAGCCCACAAATAAATGTGCATCCCAGGTGCCTGGAACCTGTTGCCAGGTCCCACCCTCCAAGCCTCTCCAGGTGCCTGGTTCTGCTGACCTCTAGGGGGCCCGGACCATGGGGAGGGTTGGGGGGTGGGGTCACAGCCGAGATGAGGTTGAAGGGCGGGGGCAAGGCATCCCCAGGGGTCAGGGTTGGTTCTAAGTGAATCCCTCTTCTGGAAGGTGGGAGATCCCGCCACACACCTCAAACCTGGGACCGAGCCTCTGTCCGTCTGGATCAGCCCACACCTGAAGCAGACACCTGGGCTGGCCTCCATCTCTGATGGAACCCAAGGGTGCTTGCTGACCTACCGCTGTGGGCTGAGGGTGTCCGGGCTGAGGCTGAGGGAAAAGACCCCATGTGTGCTCAAACCTTCGTCTCCTGAGTACCCCAGACTAGGCTCACACCCTCTGTCCCTGGTCACAGCATCTGGATGGGTGGGTGGGTGGGTGGGTGAGCCCCCACCAGCTGTCTTTTTCCTCCTGGTGAGGGGAGGCGTGGGCAGGAGGTGACGAAAAGATTAGGTGGCAGGTACTGCCCGGAGTGAATCTGACCTCTCTATTGACCCCCCAGTGCCACCCTACATGCCTGTCGTCTGGGTGTGGCCTTGCCACAGCTGTGTTGCAACACCCTGGCAAAGTTTGAGCCCCCTCCACTCCTTGAAGCTCAGGTTGGGCCCCAACCCCTGGCCAGGCCCGGGATCCTGGTGTTTATCGCCACCTACTGGCCAGTAAGGAAACTGCTGCGGAATCCACACCCGGGCACCCTGATGAATGGGAAAAGGGTGGGATTTGGGGGGACAGGCGGTGGGGATCTCAGGGCCAGGACAGTTTGTGGGTGGGGATCCCTGTTTGAAGGGGTGCCCTGGCTCCAGAACAGAGGCGACAAGTGCAGGCACAGTTTGGACAAGTGCAGGCACAGTTTGGACAAACCTTGTAGGGGATGGGCTGGGGGCAGTGCTCCACCCCCTTGTGTGTGTGTGGGGGGGGAGTGGGGGTGTGGGGCCGGAGGGGGATTTCAGCCCCCGGGATGACTTTCCCCCTCCACGCCATTTCCTGGGCTTTCACGCCCAACCCCGGCGCAGTCTTTCTACTTCCTACAGAGTCTGCGGGTCTCACAGGAGGCCTGCTTCCACCGCACCTCCTCCCGGTGACCTTGGGAGCCCTTCTCGCCCGTTCCGAGCCTCAGTTTCCCCCGCCCGGCCGCCGGTTGCCGCGCCACCCCGCGCCCACGCGGGGGCAGTGTTGGCCTGGCTTTGGCGCCGCTTGGCGCAGCCGAAACTTCTCCGCCTCTCGCCCGAGGGTCGGAAACTTTTCCCCTCGCGCCGCGCCGCTCCCGTGCCTCCCGCCCCCGCGCCGCCTCCAGCCCCGAGCTTTGCTGCGCCCCGAGCGGCCGCCTGCCACCTGCCCGCCCACGAGGGCTTGGTGGCCGCTGGTCCCGCAGCTTCTCTTTCTCACCTTGTGTTGATTAACCCAAAATTGCTAAGCTTGCGACAGAGCTGTAAGCAGCGAGCCCTCGAAACTGAGTCCCGCGGGCAGCGCACAGGGGTGGAGAGGCCCCTGGAAAATCTTTGCCAGCATCTAGGGGGGCGACCCAAAGCCGAGCACTTGCCCCGCAGGCGGCCAGCACAAAGGGAAGGAGCGAAGACAGAGACCTGCCGAAGGGGTGGGAATGGGGGGTATTCTCCACCTCCCCCACAGGCTCGGGCTGGCTGGGGTGCCGAGTAGAGGTGCCCCACCCAGGCAAGTGGGGACCTTCTGCCCCTCCCTGCTCCCTCCGCCTCCCCCCTCCCCTTGCGCCCCTTCCCCAGCCCTTCATTTTTTCTTTCCCTCGCCCCTGACCCTCCCCTCGCCTCCCTTCTCCTCCTCTTTTCCTCTTCCACAAACATGGATTCTGTGTCAAGAGGACCTTGAGCATTAGCTTGGAGCTTCACATCCCACTCGGCGCGCGAGCAGGCGCAGGGGGACCCCCGCAGACACACCACACGCACCACCACACACGCACACACAGCACACACACCACACACGGAGACGCCAGCCTAACCCACAGACGCCACACACAGCAGACACACCACACACACACACACACACTTCAAAGGCATCACACACAGACACACACGCAGGGACCCGCACCACGCACACTACGGACACCACAGATGGCGCACACACTTAGGGTCTCCCAGCGACTCCAGCTCCACATTCCCAGGCCCACCTGCTGACAGGGAGGCCCCAGATGCCCCCCCCCAGCCCCTCCCCATCCTCTGCAGCTCTAGTCCCTGACATGCCTTTCCCCCACTCAGGCAGAGCTCGAACTTGAACTGGGGGACCAGAAGGAAGGTGTGGGGCCCGGCAGGGGGTGCGGGTGCAGGTGTGGGTGGGGCCCCTTCCCAGACGTCCCCAGGTTCTGAGCTCTCCCCCCTTCTCAGGGCTCCTAACAGGGCCCTTTTCTCTGGCACCTTCTCACGCCGGCTGGCGGGTGGCCAGCCCCTCCCGGGGCTCCGGGGAGCAGCATGGCCGGAAGGCCGGGAACCTGGCCTTCTGCAGCTGGAGCTGGGGCCAGACTCCAGTCCCCACCCCTGCAGAATCTCTGGGGTGCAAGGCAGGGGTGCCCCTCACAGGCCTCCTGTGCCTTCTCATTCTGAGCAAACCTGGTCCCCACCCCATTCCGCTCCCCACCCTCACTGTGGTCCATGCACAGACCTGGGACAAGACCGTGGGTGGGGCCGGGGGAGCTGCATCTGGTGTGGGGGTGTGGAGAGGGGAGCAGGAAGGAGGGAGGAAAATCACTGCTCCTCTCTCCAGAGCCCTCCCAGCTCCCGCGCCCTTCCACCCGCTGGGCTGGCCAGGGCGTCTCCTAGCCCCTTTGCAGCAGATGAGGAAACTGAAGCTCAGAGAAGACTGGGGTGTGGCCAGGCTGCATCCTCTACCAGTGGGCAGCCTTCCGCCACACACACGTGTTCCCAGTACATCCACTCATTGCTGGGGACACTGAGGCCCAGAGAGGTGCCACTCTTTTTTCCGGTTGCCTCCCGTATACACCCTGCTCAGGGACCGAACCCGCAACCCAGGCCTGTGTGGAAAGATGCCCAGCCAACTGCGCCACACCGGTCGGGGCAGGTCAGACTCTTAAGGCCACACAGTTTGTAAGTGTTGGAGTCCAGGCTGAAGGTCAGCAGGAGGAGACACCGATGTACGGCAGCACCTCGTGGCAGCAGCCCAGGTCTCCCCCTGAAAGGCAAGCAGGGTGGTCGAGACCCATCCTGCCCGGGGCCCCTCGTCCAGCACGCGGGCATCTCGGTGGCAGGGAGGCCCAGGGCTGGGTCGGAGAGGGAGAGAGGTTATTTGGAGAAAGTGGAAGTGGGGGAGGGTGTGCAGATTGAAAGCAGAGCGGCAAGAGCAAAGGGTCAGAGAGGCAGGAGGCCTCAAGGTTCCTCAGAGGGCGGAGGCCACGGCGGCTGGACCCCAGGTGTGGGCAGGGCAGGGCTGACCCCAGGCAGGGGCTGGGCGGAGAGGGGCCTGACTCCCGACGCCACGTAGAGCCCCTGAGGCTGCGGAACCCGTGAGAAGGCAGCTCGGGCAGGGCTCCAGGGACACGAGCTGCCCCACGGGCTCACCTGCTTTCATTCTGCAGGCCGTTCATTGAGCACCTACTGTGTGCCCCATACACACGGGCCCTGGGCCCTCGGTGGACACTAGAATGACTAGCCCTGCCCTCAAGCTGCAGTCTAGTGGGGGACAAAACTCAAACAGGACACAGCGACTAGTGATGATGGGAAGCCTGGGATTTGGGGGCACAGAGGGGGTCCTACCCTCTGTGGGTAGGGGCGTGGGACGGACACCTGGGCCTTCCACCACAGTTGAGGTGGGGGCATGGCCAGACCCGGACAGAGGAACAGGAAGTGTGGGAAGAGAGGCGACTGCTGCTGGCTGTCCTGCGGCGTGGCTGGTGTAACAGTTCTGGGCCTGGGCGTAGGCGTGGGTGGGCAGGGGGCCCAGGCAGGCCATTGACAGGCGAGGGGAACAGTTACTGTCCTCCTAGACAAGACTCACACACGCACGTGCGTGGCCTGTGCCCCCCACGGGGGCTGCCCACTGCTCATTCCAGTCCCTCTGCCTTCGACTGCCTTTGACCTCACTCCCACCCGCGTCCTCCCTCTCCCCGTATCTCTGTCTCTCTGGGTCCTGTTGCCACTCCCTCCCGATGTGCCCTAAAGGACAGGTGGTCTGTGCCAGCCGGGGGTTCTTGTTGAAAACCATCAAATCCCTCTGTGGAGACAATGTACGCTGCCACCTCCAGGCAGCCCTACAAGCCTCCACATTCCCTTAAACAGACTCAGGAAAGGCGGTGACACTGGTGATGTTCACTGCGCTATGTGGGCCCATCGGAGCTGGCTTTGGGCGGAGCCTGAGCAGAAGCAGGCGTTGGACCCTCCAGGTTGGCTCTGCGACCCTCCTGGATGGTGGCACTTGGTCCCCAAGAGCAGCAGCCAGAGCAGCTCCTTTGCCATCTCCCATCATGGGGCCTCGGGGACCCTTAATGACTCAACTGCCAGGGCCTACCTAGTTCATTATCTTCACCTGGCAGCCCTGGGGACCGCAGTGCCACCCCCAAGCTCCCAGGGCGCCGCTGCTGGGCTCTGGGCTGACTTCCAGCCCCCCTGGCCACGAGCCCTGCCGGCCCAGGCTCCTCAGGGGCCCAGACCGTGTTCTCCAGGGAAAGACGCCTCCCCAGGCCGGCTCCTGAGTAACTTCTAATAGCCCACAGCCGGTCCGGAATGTTAACTACGGCGGCCAGGGGTCCCCGTGAGTGAGACAGACCTAGGCCCCGCCCTCCCAGAGCTCCGAGTCCCCCCGGAAATCAGAGGAGGAATGACTGATGCCTGTACCCCGAGCCGACATTGGTCCAGAGACTGCCATGCTTAGAGCACGTCTCTGCCCCAGCCCCATATTACAGATGAGGAAGCCAGGCACAGAGAGGTTAAGTCACTTTCCCAGGGTCACACAGCTGCG